TCTCTCTCTCTCTCTCTCTCTCTCTCTCTCTCTCTCTCTCTCTCTCTCTCTCTCTCTCTCTCTCTCTCTCTCTCTCTCTCTTCTGCCTTGGATAGTGCCTGAATACAGCCGCTCAGTTCAGACTCAGACCTTGGCAGCTATGGCCGCCATGCTTCCGTATCACTACCCTAGCTATGGCTGTCGTCGGCGCTCCCTTCTTCGTCGAGCGTAGACTTGCCCAAGTCACTTGGTTACACAAGAAGCAGCAGCGCTTCCACAACTTCAGGAATGGACACCTGATGAGCCACTGCACTGTAGCAGCTAAACATAGGACTTGTTGTGGCTTGGCCTGCTTCGGACTGGTACCGGTCAGCCGCGGCCTGTCTGCTGCAATCATTTTGTCGGTCTGGAAGCTTCCCGAACTTTCCTGGGACATGCTGCAATTTTTTCGGATTTCGGGACCGGACTGCACTTTGTGGACCTTTGTGTAGGGTACCGGACTGACTGTGAGCTGACTCAAATTTTCCAGACATAGGCCTGACTTAAACCTAGGACACCCCTTCTACCCCAATTGGACCTACCCTGCTGGGACTTTGGGGCTTGGAGACTTCCGAAACTTTGGGGTCTCCGTGCCGGACTTTCAGGTGTCTGCAGCGTGAAATCCTTTCATTTGTGATGATTTTTTGTATATGGAATGAGAGAGAGAGACAGTTTGGGGTTCTTTGTAAACCCACACACACTTTTCAACACGGCAGACACACACACATACATATTGACAGCATGTCTAAATTCTTTTGGGTAAAAGAAGAGGGTTCTTTTGTTATTAAAAAAAAAAAAAAAAACGAGTGAAAAGACGTGGGAAGCAGGATGTATTATAAGAAAGCTGTTCCTACTTACCAGCTGTACTTGTACTGAGTGCACGCAAAACTCAAGCAATCACAAATTGCTTCTCTCCGTTCTTGCAACAGTCTGGCAGCTTCCAGTGATGCCTGCCTTGCTCGCTCTGCATCCTCTCTTTTCCGCTTTGCCCTTTCCTCTTTCTTCGACTTCTTAACAGTCAGCAAGCCGCTCAAACCAAATGGGTCTTCATCGTTGTCTGCAGACTCCAGATTTCCATGCACGACTCCTGAGCTCACTTGGTTTTTCAACTTGTTGCAATCTTCCATGCCAAACTCTTCATCTCGGACGGGGACGGGGACGCATCCTTGTGCAGGAGAATCTCTCTGCCTCGTTGCAGGGTCGCCGTCTTCCTCCTCGGCCGCAACCGGCAGGTCTTCCACTAGTTGTCGCAAACGGGATGCAGCTCTCGAAAACTGGTGCAGAAAGGTTCATGTTGACCAAAGACGACAACTGTCAATTGTTTTTTTTTTGTTGTTGTTGAAAATTTTGTACTGTTTCTCTGTTTTTATTAAAAGCTGGAAATCGGGTACAGCGTCCCTTACATCATTGGAAGACAACTGCCATTTTTATTTATTCCGAGATAAAGGGATTCTCAAACTAATCCGCCCTACCCCATTTTGCAGTTTGTGTTTTGCATTGATTGACTCCCTTGCGAGAGGCCGTTGTCCACTCCTGCAGGGGGGCAAGCCACTCACTTTACATTTGCTACTGATCTCCACGCCCAATCATCGTTCGATAATACAGGTTTTATTTATTCAAATTATTTTTACGAAGGGTGTGACCCTTATTACTCTTGCGCAATGAAGCCACTCTAGAGAAGCAAGCTCACACTTTCACCACCACCCATCATCGACAGCAACTCGAAGCAGTAAGTAGTCAAGAAAATAGACAAGGGAAGAGAAGAATCAGGGAGGAGAAGGTAAGCTTTCAACGATAATCAATTTGTACAACATATCACGGATCTTCCACCCACCATCCTTCAACCTCCAGGCTTCTTTCTTCCCTGCTCACCACCTCGCTGTCACCAACCTAACCCTCTATGGATGATGAAGCGGATAGCTCTCCAAGATGCACCTCGCCAAAGCACATGTCAATCCCTGCAGCGCAATATGAACTGGTGCTGTGGAGGATGATGCTAGAACCAGCCAGCGTGCCAGACTTCAGAAGCAGGGTGTCGTCTCTCTAACAAAGCCACACCACCAGGAAAGCCAGGTAATCCTCCCTCTCTCTCTCTCTCTCTCTCTCTCTCTCTCTCTCTCTCTCTCTCTCTCTCTCTCTCTCTCTCTCTCTCTCTCTCTCTCTCTCTTCTTCTCTACTCACCTCTCTGTGCAGGTACGATCTCCCATCAAACCTCATCTCTACCACTAAGCTATGGTGCTGGGCGCCCTCTAGCCTAGCTATGGCTATCTAGCTTTCAACCTCGCTCAAGCTCTCTATCTCCCTCCCTCCAGGGCTTCCCTCTTGCCCCAAATGGAATGCAAGGTCATTATTGCTGTATCTAGACCGAAAATTGCCCGAAATACCGCCATAATGACCGTATGTTCTATTCAGGGGAAAGCCGGTAGCACTGTGAATTCAGCACCCTAGCAGCGCAAGGCAGAATCAATGAACCTTGCCTTCTGTCCGTCTGCATCCAACAGTCAAGGCTCTGGACTCCATTACTTGCTGCAGATGTCTACTTGTTTTTTTTTTTTTTTTTTACCAGAACCTTCTGGTTTTGGCTCCTACCATTCTTGGGAGCGACAGTCCGGTTCCTTTCCCCCGGCAAGTCAATAATACATACATAGGAAACTCACGCACGCTCCTTCCCCATTATGGCTGGGAGGCCCGAGCAGATGGCATTGATTACTTCCTTAAGGAAGGATGTACCATTCCTTACCCCTGCTTAAGTAAGCCTGAGCTTCTTCACTATCCTTATTTATTAGTAATTATTAATTTATTAGTAAAATTATTACTACTTGTATTCCTATTATATTATTTGCACCACTGCCATGCTGTAACTGCTGTTGTAATTTGTAACTGATGTAATAGCAATGACATGCATACTTCTTGCATATTACGGTTAATTACCTCAAAAGTATCATCAGTGTTGAGCTCATTGCGCACATCAGCACGAATAAGCCACACCTCTAGCTGTCTGCACTGACTGAAAGAGAATACCTGAAAACATTCACCGATCCGCAATCGACGAACGCAACAGCGTCAGCATCATCATCAGGAGCAACCGCGAGCAGCTTCATCAAGTACAGCATGGAGGCAGACAGATGAACTTTTAACTTTCCTTCAGTGTTGCACAACCCGACCGTCGGCGACCCTTGACTGGTCGGCACCTACCG